TTTCAACCCAGAATTTCATATCCAGCCAAACTAAGCTTCATAAGCGAAGGAGAAATAAAATCCTTTCCAGACAAGCAAATGCTGAGGGATTTTTGTCACCACGAGGCCTGCCTTACAAGAGATCCTGAAGGAAGCGCTAAATATGAAAAGGAAAAACTGGTACCAGCCACTGCAAAAACAAACCAAAATATAAAGACCAATGACGCTATGAAGAAACTACATCAACTAATGTGCAAAATAACCAGCTAGCATCATGATAACAGGATCAAATTCACACATAACAATATTAACTTTAAATGTAAATGGGCTAAATGCCCCCAATTAAAAGGCACAGGCTAGCAAATTGGATAAAAAGTCAAGACCCATTGGTGTCCTATATTCAGGAGATCCATCTCATGTGCAAAGACACACATAGGCTCAAAATAAAGGGATGGAGGAAGATTTACCAAGCAAATGGAAAGCAACAAAAAAAGCAGAGATTGCAGTCCTACTCTCTGATAAAACAGACTTTAAACCAACGAAGATCAAAAAAGACAAGGGCCCTTACATAATGGTAAAGGGATCGATGCAACAAGAAGAGCTAACTATCCTAAATATATATGCACCCAACACAGGAGCACTCAGATTCATAAAGCAAGTTCTTAGAGACCTACAAAGAGACTTAGACCCCCACACAATAAGAGTGGAAGACTTTAACACTCCACTGACAATATTTGATAGATCAACAAGACAGAAAGTCAACAAGGATATCCAAGACTTGAATGCAGATTTGGACCAAGCAGACCTAATAGACATATACAGGATACTCCACTCAAAAAAGGCAAGGGCCTTACATAATGGTAAAGGGATCAATGCAACAAGAAGAGCTAACTATCCTAAATATATATGCACCCAACACAGGAGCACCCAGATTCATAAAGCAAGTTCTTAGAGACCTACAAAGAGACTTAGCCCCCCCAACAATAATAGTGGAAGACTTTAATACCCCACTGTTCATATTAGATAGATCAATGAGACAAAATTCACAAGAATATTCAGGACTTGAACTCAGCTCTGTACCAAGCAGACCTAATAGACATCTATAGAAATCTCCATCCCAAATCAACAGAATATACATTCTTCTTAGTGCCACATAGCACTTATTCTAAAATCAACCACATAAATGGACTAAAACGCTCCTCACCAAATGCAAAAGAATGGAAATCATAACAAACAGTCTCTCAGACCACAGTGCAATCAAATTAGAACTCAGGATTAAGAAGCTCACTCAAAACCAACTTGATTACTTGTAAAGCTCAGATAAGTTTTCTTTCTAAAATTTCTTGAATTATTGCTTTCTTCATTTACTTTCTCTCCTGGAAATTCTATTCTTGGCATAAATCTCTTGGCTTATTCTACATTTTCTTTTTTTACTCATAAATTTCTATTTCTTTATTTTTCTTTTTTAGATAGTTTATATATTTGAACTTTCAAATCACTTACTCAGTTTTCAGTAGTGCTGATTCCAATTTCTTCACATTTTTGGAATCGTTAAACCTAAAAATCATTTTTTTCCCAAAACCTTTGCTTCATCATAATTTCTTTGTTATATTTGAAAAAAAAACTGCCTCCTTTAATTTCGCATTGCTTTTGATGTAATGGAGTCATTTAAGAACTATCATTTTAATTTTCAAAAGAAAAATGTAGTGTTGATCCCTAGTACTTGAACATTAAAAAGAAAGTATGTTCTGCATAAAATTTACCTGAAACTACCAATGAGTTGAAAGAATTATCTAAAATATTTAGAAAAGAAGAAAAGGAAATCTTTCACCTAAATATAACTGGAAAACTGTTCAAATTTTCCATTTACTCAGCTATTCACATCTATATTATGGGTGCTCAATAGATACATTTAGATTGTTAAAATCCTAGATCTAGCAGGAACTCTCAGAATGTTTAGTCTAAATATGAGCTTAAAGCCCTCTAGAGACCAAGCTCAGTTGACATAAATGTAGGAGATTGGGGAGTGCATGTCTATGTAAGCAAGCACTAACCAACTTGAGCTTCTTTTTGCTTGAGAAAAATTGGCAACTATATATCACAGTCTTCTACTTTTTCAAGAGAATACAGAAATTCAGATTTTAATATGAGCTCACCTTTTAAATGCTGACAACTGATTCACAATTTTCTTTGACAATACAAAGCCAGTTTTGGCCAGCAGCCTGTGATCTCGTCTCAGCTTCTTATATTGGAGTTTTCAAACTGGGACTACCTCCCAGACAATCAGTGACTTTTCAAGATCACAAGATAATTAACATAAATTTAAATTCAATATTTCCATGTCTAAATAATTTCAACCAAAATGGTATAAGTAAAATGTATTTGATTATGTTTACTGAGTTCACAAAAATAAGGATACTTAGTATACACTGTATTAAATAAGTACTTTATATAGAAGTGAATATCATGTATTGATCAGCAAATTACCTGTTCAATTATTTAACTTCATTCATATAATTTGTGGAGGAGCAGGTTAAGAGGTGAGGGTTATTTCAACAAGACATACCAAAAAGTAGAATTAATTCCATTGGGAGCTGAAAGTTTTATTATGACTATTTTGTAATTATCATTATTATTAGTTTTTCTTTTCTCCTAACCTGGTTCAGATTTCTAGCTACTTTTTTTGTTTTTGTTTTGCTTGTTTGGGACACTCTCACTCTATGGCCCAGTATGAAGTGCAGTGACACGATCTTGGCTCATTGCAACCTCTGCCTCCTAGGTTGAAGCAATTCTCGTCTCAGCCTCCCAAGTAGCTGGAATTGTAGACGCATGCCACCATGACCAGCTAACTTCTATATCTTTTTGTAGAGACGAGATTTCATCATGTTGGCCAGGCTGGCCTTGAACTCCTGACCTCAATTGATCTGCCCCCGCCTCAGCCTCCCAAAGTGCTGGGATTACAGGCCTGAGCCAACATGCCTGGCCTAACATTTTATAGTCAATATCTTCAACACCAAATCATATAGAATAAATTAATGATTTATCTAGGCTTATTTATTATGTAATGTCAAATCTCTTAAACCAAGCAAAAAAAAAATTAAGTGAGGAAGTGGCCTCTGAAAGCAAAATGATGTATGTTACTTAGCCCAGTTTTCACAAAGACTCAGTGGCACCACCATCTAACAGGTCCCCCAAGCTAGAAACCTGGTAACAGTTACCAGATCCCCAAGCTGGGAATCTGGTATCCTCACTTTTCCTTTTAATTCTCCATGCTACATTCAGTCAGTCAGTCATTAAGTCCAATTATTATACTTACAAAAGATCTATCCAATTTGCCCTTTCAATCATTTCAACTACCACCACCTGATGGTAGGCTAGAGGTATGGCTAGTAGGCCAAATCCCACTCACAGAATGTTTTGTCTAACCTGCATGGTGTTTTGTCTTACTCTAAATATTTGCCAGTATTAAAAACTGTGAGATTTCACACACAAAATTCCAGATTTCCAGCTTTTCTAGAAAATCAGAGTATCTGGGGAAACTAGACTAAAGGTAAGTAGTACCTTTAACCTTTAGACAGGGCATAAAATCTCCAGTTGGCTACAGCTCTCACCTTTACCTGTACTTCACTCATTTCATGTGAGTTAGTAAACCTGATTTAGATTTTTGCCATTTCCTCATTTTCAGAGCTAACGCAACAGCTTCTTGACTAAACCCCCTGCCTCTGGTCTTCACCCCTTTAATCTTTATTTGACAACATTGATAGACTTTATAAATGAAACTTTTTCATTGTACTCCCTGCTTAAAATTCAATAATGCCCCATCAAAATAGAGTTGAACTCCCTATTATTTGACCCCTGTGTACATCTTCAGCTTCATCTCATCTTCAATCAAACTCAATTGCTTAGTGTGCTCCAAAAGTGCTGTATGCTCTTCCACTTCAGTACTTTAAAAATCCTCTTCTCACCCTAGAATGCCCATCCTTTCTTTGGCTAACTTCTACTCTTTCTTCAAAATCAGCTCAAATATGATCTTCTCTGGGACACTCTCCCAGACTCCATCTCCCCACCCTCTCTACCTAACACTCCCAATCAATCTACTAGGCAGCCTCTCCTGAATATCAGTGGCAGCCTGTGACAATTATAGCACTATATTACGATTATTAGTTTTTTATCTGTGTCCTCCAACTAGAGTAAGCTCCTTGAAGACAACCCCTATTAAATTTCAGCTTAGACTATAAGTAAGAAGATAAAAGTGCTTCCTCAATTATTACTATCATGGCAGTAGATGAGAAAAGGAACATTTATAAAAGGCCTCTTATGTGCCAAGTACTATAGCTAGTCCTTTTGCAATATCTCATTTAATATTAAGATTTACAACAAGTGAAAAAGTGAATAGAATTTGGAATTTCAGTTACAGCTTGGTTAAATTTTGATATATTAATTGCTTTGGTACTCCTACATTACACAATTTTGAGATTACAGCTCTCAGTTGAACACAAACAAGTTGCTTTTCATTTTCAGTTTGGTTTTTTTTGTGTGGTTTTGTTTTGTTTTGTTTTGTTTTGTTTTGTTTTAAGAGATAAGGTCCGGTCTTAAACCCTTGGACTCACTCTTCCCTTTAATTCTCCTTGTTACATTCAGTCAAAGGATCCTCCTGCCTCAGCCTCCCAAGTAGCTGGAACTCCAGGCATAAGATACCACACCCAGCTCTAGTTCCTATTATTTCTGAGTTAACTTATTTAGTATATAACTTTCCCTAATTTGAAAAAAGTTGGGGGTAGGGCAGAAAGCAAACACTGCTCAAGGTCAACATCAACAAAGCTTAGGGAAATGTTTTTAAAAATCAATATCCATATGACAAAACATTCATGTAAAGAGAAATCTTACAGGTAAAATTTCATGGAAAGAGAAACGTTATATAAACATTATACAGGGAGGATTCACTCAAACATATTTTGCAGCCATCTTATACTTAGCAAAATAGGTAAAATTGTTGCAAAAGGTTTAAAAGGAAAACTTACCCTTTCTGTAAGAGTTACAACTGGTGATAATGCAGAATTCATGAAATCATAAGCATCAATTTGGGATAAGTATTTCAGAATCTGAAATTCAGAAGCATCTTCTGTTGATTTATAAATAAAAATATGTTAACAATATTATATAACTTCTGATTCTAACTTCTTCCTTAATTGAAGCATTAGAGAATAAATAACCTGTTTCTTTTTTTTTTTAATTGCATTTTAGGTTTTGGGGTACATGTGAAGAACATGCAAGATTGTTGCATAGGTACACACATGACAGTGTGATTTGCTGCCTTCCTCCCCTTCACCTATATCTGGCATTTCTCCCCATGCTATCTCTCCCCACCTCCCCACCCCCCAATAATTTGTTTCTTACCTTTTTGAGAAGACAAAGAGTTTTCAGTTGAAACCATCTGACTATTTAGCAGGGTATTTTCCATAGATCTGTCTATCTCCACCAGAGCAGGCCCGTCAGTGTCTACTGATGGTTTTGAATTTTCATCATTATTTTTAGAAGATGAGGGTTTGAAATGTACTTCTTCATGACTTCTCATAGGTAACTCTATGTTAGAGACCATATCTACAAATAAAAAGAAATGTGTTTTTCCCAAATACTTGCTTTGTTGAGGGCTTCCCTTTTGTTTCCTAGGCAGGTCATTTTTTTAACTTTTGTAGGTCATTGTGATACTTCATTAAAGAAAGAATACACTAAAAAGTAAATTGTATCCTGTATTAGTTCCTATTACTAGTAAGATAAATTACCAAAACTTGGTGGCATAAGCAACGCAAATTTATCCTCTTAGAGTTTTGGAAGTCAGAAATTCTAAAACCAAGGTATTGAAGTTGGCAAGGCTGCATTCCTTTAGGCGGCTCTAGAGCAGAATCCGTTTCCTAGCTTTTTCTAGTTTCCAGAGGCCTCCTGCATTTCTTGACTCATGGCCTCATCCTCTATTTTCAAAGCCAGCAGTGTAGCATTTTCTAATTTCTGTCTCTCTTACTCTGACACTCCTACCTTCCTCTTATAAGGAGCCTTGTAATTACATTAGACACACGAGGATAAACTCTCCATTTCAAGATCCTTAATCACATCTGCAAGGTCCTTTCCACCATGTAAAGTAACATATTCACAGGGTCTTGGGGTTAAGATAAAGACATCTTTTAGGGGCCTTTTATTCAGCCTACTACATAGCCTTTTCTTTATTCTTCAGTCAAGGAAGAATTACAAAAACTATATATAATTCTATTCTCCACATGCCTTTTTGTCCTAAAAATTACTTTTAAAAAACCCTAAAACTAACATAACTGGAAACAATTCTGTTGTACTATATAACAAAAGCATATGACTAAGCATAAAGCATATGACTAAGAATAAAGCAACACATAGATTCTCTTGAGATTTCATTCCAGCTATGTATACATTTGTTAACCAGAAAGTGTAATATCTAAAAAAAAACAAAAAACAAAAAAAAAACAAAGTATCAGTGTGGTCTTGAAAAACAATAATAAAGAGTAGTAAGTAAATGGTTCAATGTCTAATTTTGCTCTTTGAGTTTATGAGTCTTAACATAGCACTTTGACACTGTCACTTATTTATCATTGTTTAAAAGATGAAAGTCCCAATTGAGCAAACACATATCAGTAATTTAGTAATAGCACCTGTAGATCTTAATATTTAACAAGAGCATTCAAATCAGGAGTCTGAATTCAAAGGAATTATTGTACATACAGGACTCAAGTAGTCATCTACACTAATGTTCAGTGCTACAAAAAAAGGATTATTCAATAATTATACTCAAATTTATATACAGCTATATTGATTATTTTAAAATACTGTTTTAAAATGCCTTTGAAATAAATATATTAAAAAATTAATATTCCCTATACCATTTTCATATTTAATTATATTTTTAGGTACTAGTTACACAATTAAACCTAAGCTTTAAGATTTACATTAAATACAGATATGCTTTTCTTTATAATTGCTTAACAGAATTTTAAGTCAAAGAAAATAATTTTTAACTGTACTTGGGAAACTCATTATTTAAGCATGCACAATTGGAATCCTTTAGTAAAATCGTTATTCACATTGTAATATAAATAACTGTTCCCTAATTTACCTGTTTTGTAACTTCCTAAATCGGTATGTTAGTTTTCTGTAAATGTGGTTATCTCAAGTCTGAGCCTTTCAGAAACATAGATTCAAGATCAGTGATTCCTCTTGCTTATGCACTCTAATTACGACAAGTTTTCATTTGCTATTCCATAAAAGAGTTGTTGAAATCTGAAAAGACTGGCTGTTAACTCTTTCTCTAATATCCAGAAAATAGGGCCTGCAGCTTTCTAGAAATCTCTTTTTTAGGATGCTTTTTTAAAAACAAATTTTTGCATGATCTCAGCTTGCTTTCCATTCAATTTTTATTTAATATTGTAGTGTTTTGGAATTACCCACTTTGTTAATACATGGCATCATTTTTTCTGAAATTAAAAAGAATTTCTGAATATTTTCATAAAAGTTCCTCAAAACTAGTTAAAATTGCAGAAACATCCTATTCTCATTTAACTATTTACCAATTTTAGAAATTCTTCCTGTATCACTATATGAAGTGAGAAATTTTTTAAATATTTTCTTTCTTTTTTTTTTTGAGACTGAATCTCACTCTGTCGCCCAGGCTGAAGTGCAGTTGTGCGAGCTCAGCTCGCTGCAACCTCCTCCTCCCGAGTTCAAGCGATTCTCATGCCTCAGCTTCCCAAATGTCTGGGATTACAAGCGCACACCACAACGCCTGGCTAGTAGAGCCGGGCTTTCACCATGTTGGCCAGACTGATGTCAAACTCCTCCTGACCTCAAGTGATCCACCCACCTCTGCCTCTCAATGTGCTGGGATTAAAGGATGAGCCACCACGCCCAGCCAATATTTTCTTTCTTTCTTTCTTTTTTTTTTTTTTTTTTGAGACAGAGTCTTGCTATGTCACCAGGTGCCAGGCCAGAGTGCAGTGGCTCAATCTCGGCTCACTGCAACCTCTGCTTTCCGGATTCAAGCAATTCTCCTGCCTCAGCCTCCCAAGTAGCTGGGACTACAGGCACGCGCCACCACACCCAGCTAATTTTTGTATTTTAGTAGAGACAGGGTTTCACCATGTTGGTCAGGACGGTCTCGATCTCTTGACCTCGTGATCCACCCGCCTCGGCCTCCCAAAGTGCTGGGATTACAGGTGCGAGCCACCATCACCCGGCCCACTATTTTCTTTAGAGACAAAGTATCCCTGTGTTGCCCAGGCTGGCCTCAAACTCCTAGGCTCAAGCCATTTCTCACCTCAGCCTTCCAAGTAGCTTGGGACTGTAGGAGCACACCAATACTCCCAGCTAAATAAAATTTACAAAAATGATTTTCAGGAGGCCTTGGAGTTTCTATGATTATGTTATAAAATATTTTTATATATCAATCTTTGGAATCATCTGGATTTCTGGATCTAATGTTTCGTTTTGTTGTAGTCTCTCTTCCTTCTAATTACTGTGATCTGCCTTTTCATAAATATTCCTTTAGGATCTAGCAAGTTTAGAACAAGAGAATTTACCTCTTAATTAGCCTTTAACGACCTAAAAAGATGTCTAAGTTTTTAGTCATGAAAAGATTACACCTGCACCTTTCTCAACTGGAAAAGGGTTAGAACCTAAATATCTGTATGTTGTTTGAGGATGCTGATTGAGAGCGCACATTTTGAGGTATGTTAAGGTATAATATATAGATCTGGAAATTCAAAAAAATCACCTGGTTCTAATAGAAATGTGTTTCCTTCTAAGTTTGTTGGCCTCTTCCTGTGAAAGGTTTTCTATCATTCTAGAGTTTGTTTTTGTATTATTGGTCAATATTTGCTGTGTTTTTATTCTGTCCATCACAGAGACATAAGGATGGAGATATGGAAAAGTCATATTACAAAATTTTCTTCTTAAAATACAACTCACATGTTTTTGTTTTGTTTTGTTTTGTTTTTTGTTTTGTTTTGTTTGTGAGATAGAGTCTCACTCTGTCGCCAGGCGCCAGGCTGGAGTACAGTGGCACAATCTTGGCTCACTGCAACCTCCGCCTCCTGGGTTCAAGCAATTCTCCTGCCTCAGCCTCCTGAGTAGCTGGGACTACAGGTGCACGCCACCACGCCCAGCTAATTTTTGTATTTTTAGTAGAGACGGGGTTTCACCGTGTTGGCCAGGCTGGTCTCGATCTCTTGACCTCGTGATCCACCCTCCTCGGCCTCCCAAAGTGTTTTTAATCATAGGAGGTGCTAGATACCTGGACATCTAGATCTAAAAGTATTATCTTATATTCTGCTCTCTTCTGTTGCCCTCTGCTGAACTCTCAGAATTGAGGGACTTGGGCCAGGCATGGTGACTCACGCCTGTAATCCCAGCACTTTGGGAGGTCAAGGCATGCAGATCACAAGATCAGGAGTTCAAGACCAGCCTGACCAACATAGCGAAACCCCGTCTCTACTAAAAATACAAAAATTAGCCAGGTGTGATGGAACGTACCTGTAGTCCCAGCTACTTGGGAAGCTGAGGCAGGAGAATCGCATGAACCCGGGAGATGAAGGTTGCAGTGAGCCAAGACCATGCCATTGCACTCCAGCTTGGGTGACAGAGTAAGACTCCATCGCAAAAGAAAAAAAAACAAAAAGGCGGAACTTGAGGGAGAAAGTTGAAAACTTTTTCCCTTTTCATGCTTGAGTTTTCTTATCTTGAAACTTAAAGAAAACCCTTGTTATCAGCTGGGCACAGTAGCTCATGCCAGTATTTCCAGCACTTTGGTAGGCTGAAGTAAGAGGATACCTTAGGCCAAGAGTTGGGACCAGCCTGGACAACATAAGGAGACCCCATCTCCACAACATTTAAAAATAAATTAGCTGGGTGTAGTGGTACACACTTACAGTCCCAGCTAATCAGGAGGCTGAGGTTGGGGGATAGATTGAGCCCTGGAGGTTGAGGCTGCAGTAACTGTGATCACACCACTGCACTCCAACGTAGATGACAGAGTAAAATCTTGTCTCAAAACAAAACCAGAAACAAAAGAAACCCCTTGTTATCATAGTTCTTCTAGGAAAAAAAAAAAAAAAAAAGCAAAACTACAGACCTAAAATAAGATCTAATTTAAGAATCAAAACTATTTAATTAAGTTTCCCTTAGTTGGCCAGGCACAGTGGCTCACACCTGTAATCCAAGGAGTTTGGGCAGCTGAGTGGGGCAGATCGCTTGAGCTCAGGAGTTCGAGACCAGCATGGGCAACATAGTGAAACACTGTCTCTACAAAAAATTCAAAAGTTAGCCAGCTGTGGTGGCATGCACCCATACTCCCAGCTACTTGGGAGATGAAGTGGGAGAACTGCATGAGCTCAGGAGGTTGAGGCTGCAGTGACCTGAGATTATGCCACTGCACTCCAGCCTAGACGACAAAGTGACACCCTGTCTCAAAAGAAAAAAAAGAAAAAAGTTTCCCTTGGGCCGGGCGCGGTGGCTCAAGCCTGTAATCCCAGCACTTTGGGAGGCCGAGGCGGGTGGATCACGAGGTCAAGAGATCGAGACCATCCTGGTCAACATGATGAAACCCCGTCTCTACTAAAACTACAAAAAATTAGCTGGGCATGGTGGCACGTGCCTGTAATCCCAGCTACTCAGGAGGCTGAGGCAGGAGAATTGCCTGAACCCGGGAGGCGGAGGTTGCGGTGGGCCTGCATCGCCCCATTGCTCCCCAACCTGGGAAAAGAAAGCAAAACCCCCTCTCAAAAAAAAAAAAAAAAAAAAAAAGAAAAAAGTTTCCCTTAGTTTAGGTTTCTAAGAAAACCATTCAAATATATTTGCATTGGGAAGGTATTACTGGGCTAAAAAGTAAATGTGAATGAGAAAATCCACACCTACCAGAATAGGATGTCAATAGACACTGTCTACAATAGGGTAATCAAAGCAGAACAGTACAAAGATTCTGTTTAGAAAACTCTTAAATACTAAAAAGATACTGCTTTATAAACAAAAAAAGAAAATTACTGTCTCTGGGAAAGCAATGGGAGTAGAGGTAAACAGAGGGAACAGAAATTGCTTTCATCAAAAAAAAAAAAAAGCCTAGCACTATTTCAAATTTTAAACTATTTACATACAATTTTGATAAAAATTATAATTTATTGTAAAATACTTTTAGATTTTCTTGGAACATCTTTAGATCTCCAATCATTGTTTTTCTGATGAGATTTTATTTTGTAATATTAATCTAAATTCCAGAGTAAACCAGAAATTGATGAAAGAGCTAAGTATTTTGAAAAACTTGGATTCCTGGACTTTTTAATCTGATTGGTATTTATACAAATAAATTGCTTAAAAATAAAATAAATTATAGTATAAATGTTTTCATACCAACCTGACTGACTGTATGAACTTTCAAACATCATAACTTTTGTATTATCTGTGGGATAATTGTCAATGGAAAATTCTTCTGTTTCTTCATTTTCAATTACATTATTTTGATCCAGTATCTGTTTGGGAAATGGCAATTCTGTTTCCTTTGGAATGTTCTGGAAGTTCCAAGGGCTGTCAAAATTATACAAGAACTTTTTCAAATATGGTAAGGTATCAGATTCATCTGTTTTTTCTAAGACTGATTTCTTGTCTATTTCATCTTCTGTTTCCATAATTTTTATCATCTCTATTTCTTGTTCTTTTTCAGGGTCAAATTCACTTGTTGGAGGTTGTTCGTGTTCATCTGCCCCACCATCTTCTTCATTTTTCCTGTTATCTAACATAATTTTATCTTCCTTGGCATATGCAAAACCTAGCATAGCAAAACCAAAATCAAACCAACTTGCCTTGAGACTCAAGCTGTCATTAATGATTGTGTCTTCTTTTTCTGTTAATATTTCTGTACATGGAACTGTGGCTTCTTCATCAGATGATATAGAATTGGGAAAATCTTGTAGTGGTGGATTGCTTTCTTCTGCTAATAATTCAAGCCCTGTATCCTCATTTCCAAAACCTAAATAACTTGTAAATCCACCACCAAACCAACCAGTGGGTTGAGGTTTGGGAATGTGCTCTGACTCAGATGTTAGTTCAGACTGTGTCTTTGGCACTGAATCAATTTCTGATTCAGATTCTTGCTGATGTTCTGTTTGAGGCTCACCATTATTTAATTCCTCTAGGTCATTCTCATCTTCCACTGCTATTTTTCTACTTCGAAATAGGCTTCCTTGTACAGGTTCAATAACAGATTCAAAAGCCTTCTCTTCAGCTTGTTCTCTTACCAATCCAAACCATTCTTTGACTCCAGACACAGCTGAAGATGGTGGGACATGTGCTTCTGGAATATAATCCTGTTCCACACTTTCAGCAACTACTTCTTCCCAGTGTTTTGATTTACTGGTACTTCTGATCTCTTCAGGAACCTCTAATGCTGGAAATTGGTCTTCAAACAAAGTACTTGCATAAGTTGCATAATATCCAGGTTCTATCTGGACATCACTTTCACGTACACTAGATTTTTCTTCTTTATCTTCTTCATAAGGATGTGTATTTTCACCATAATCACTGTTTAATTCACTATCTTCATTGTCAAATGTATAGCTCACTCCAAGAAGGCAAAGAAAGTCAGATTCCTAAAAGGAAAAAATATAGTAATGATTAACATGAATGTACTACAGCTCCTTGTTTCTCCCTGAGTCATTTTAAATGGATGACTGTGATTTTCCCAAGACACACCACTAGCTCAACAGCAGAGCAAAAATTCAAACACTTGTGTCACAACTGACTTGTAGAGGCTAATTATGTAAACCTAAATGAAAAACCTTTTACATTATGTTTTTTTGTTTATTTTTTCTTTGTTTTTAGAGACAGTGTCTTGCTCTGCCGCCCAGGCTGGAGTATAGCTCACAGTTTGCATGAATTCCAGGGTTCAAGCAATCCTCCCTCCTCAGCCTCCCAGGTAGCTGATACTATACCTGGCTAATTTAAAGTTTTTTTGTGAAGATGGTGTCTCGCTATGTTGCCCAGGATGAGCAACAGGGGTCAGCAAACAAGGCAGGAGCAGATTGTGTGGGACTGTGAAGCCACAGTAAGAAGTCTGGGCTTTATTCCAGGTCCAGTGAAAACCCACTAAACGACTTTAACCAAAGGAATGACATAATCTGATTTTTTGTTTCTATTTTTGCTTTTACAAGATTCATTGCTGTTTGGAGAATGGATTGAAAGAGGGCAAAAGTACAGGCAAAGAGACTAGTTAGAAGGCTATTGTAGTATTCTAATCAATAGATGAAGCCGCTTACGGTTGCACGTCTGTAGTCCCAGCCATTGGGGAGGCTGAGGTGGGAGGATTGCTTGAGCCCCAAGAATTCTAGGCTGTAGTACAGTTTGATTAAACCACAGTGTTCCAGCCAAGAGATCATGGTGCCTTGAATTAGGGCTATGGTGAAAATGGAATTGAAGAGAAGACAATATACTCCAGACATATTTTAGAGATAGAACTGACAGGACCAATTATTATACAGTAAATAGACAGTTAATCCCAGAGTTTGTGATGGGAAAGAGCCAGAAAATAGACAGTTTGTTTAACTAGATAGACTCATTTCTCACTGACCTCCCTTAAGGTAACTTGACTTAACTTAGAATCTGAATCAAATGGGCTAACCAAGTTTATTAATTGAAAATTCACCTCCTGATTCCCTTTAGTATATCAAGCCTAACATTATCATGCTCATGAAAAACTGCAACAGCAAAATAGGGTGTACAGATATGAGACTAAGGAGTATGGTGGAAAATAAACTTTGATCTTAGTAAGACAATAGTGTTAGTAATAATATCTAACACTCACTGAGCACTTAGTAAGTGCTGTTCTATGTACTTTGCATATACTCATTTTATTCTTCAATACGTGTAAGGTAGCACTATATTATACTCAGTACCCCCACTTTATAGATAAGGAAATTGAGGCATACCAGGCCACATAGCTTGTAAGTAGTTGAGTCAGACTTTGAACTCAGTCCAACTCCAGAATCCATGCTTTTAACAACTACACTCTATTGCCTGTCCGTTAATTGCTCAGAAAGCAAAATCTTTCACTGTCACCAAATGTGTCTTACTTAATTTTATCCAGATAAACTATTCCTAGAGTAAGTTCTCAGGCCAACTATTTTATGCATTCACTATAAAAGGTATATAACCAATTGCACTGATATTGGGGAAAATTGTTTTAACCAAGAAATTTTAAATTCAATTAACAATTGAGAATGAGTTTACTCACTTTAGTAGATATCTGAATCTCCTCAGATATGAACACCTCTTCAATCTGGACTGCATCTCTGGGAAAATATCCAAACTCCTTTCCTTTCTGTCAAAATAAAGAACAAAGATTATCGAGGAAGAATGATCAAAGCAATAATAATTATTGAACCTAATTTTGTCCCATGTCCTTGGCTTTCATCTACTCCAAATCGAAAACATTGACTATAAATTTCCATAGAAAAGAGAATGAAATCATATTCTTTTGTTTTTCAAAAGTAAAGCATTTATTTAAGGAACAAAGAGCAAATTGTAAAATGTCACTGCTTCAAACTTCAGAAGGAATCCTGTTCCACTTACTCATTTTCTTCCTTTTTCTGTTCTTTAATGACCTTTCGTATCCAGGTCGACTGCAGATTTGCACTAGTAGACCTGGGATATCAAAAGGCTAGACAATGGCAGCGGTGGCCAAGCTAGATGGAGTAGTGACATATTCAATGTTTTCAGGATGTTAAAATCAGACAGGCGGTTTAAACTCTGAAAAGCCACAATGGATTCATCATGATAGTAAAGGTCTTCAAGTCCTCCAGGGAGGATTTCATTCCGTTCTACTTTTCTGGGGCTACCTTGATAACAGAGGCCCTCTTAATCCAATTCAAGCACAGGCAGACTGTCCCCCAAGAGTGAAGGCTTTCCACAACCACCCTCAGCCAATTTCCTAACCCTGTTAAAGTTTTAAAGAACATATTTATTTTGGTCTTCTAATCCAACATCATTAGACCTCAACTGTGACTTGTCCAGCTCTCCAGTTGCTGTAACTATTTGGAAACTGACAGCCTGTGGGCCCACAGTGTGGTTCCTTCAACAGCTAACTGCATAAATTAAACACCAAACACACAAAGCAAAATGTGCCTGAAACTTCACCCTGGCTCCACACATTAAACACTGCTTTTGTGTGGGAAACATTATTTTCACATATAGTAAATAAAAAAGAATGCTTTCTTTGCCTCTTATGACAACTAAGAGGTCACTGTTTGTACAGCTGCATTGGATGCCTCTAATGAATTTGAGACAGATTGTTTTTGTTTTTTAATAGAGACAGAGTCTTGCTCTGTTGCCAAGGCTGGAGTGCAGCAGTGCAATCATAGCTCACCGTAACCTCAAACTCCCAGGTTCAAGCTGTCCTCCAGCCTCAGCCTCCCAAGTAGCTAGGACTACAGGCATGTACCACAACACCCCACTAATTATTATTATTTTGTTTGTGTATTCTTGCTATGGTGCCCAGGCTGGATCTTGAACTCCTGACCTCAGTGTTCCTCCTGCCTCAGCTTCCCAAAGCACTGGAATTACAGGCATGAGCCACTACACCTGGCCTTAGACTGGCATTTTAAAGGCACCTGAAGCAGTAGGGAAAGTTGGGAACTGCAGAGGCCAGGCAAGCAGTTCTGGCCAATGACAATTAGAAGTCCAGTCATACAGCCCCTGATGGGAAAAGCAGAATTTTTAAATATAATCTGCTCCTTCAAACAGTGACCACACACAAAAAAGAGATCTGATGCATATGTAGTACGGAAGTGTTATATGTATTGAGTCAGTCATGCTTGTTCAGCTTGGGAGTAAAAGTACTTAACATAGCACCTTTTCATTGTAAACCACAATGATACAATCAAAGATAACCTTTTTTCAATGGAAAATATTAATCATTAATTTTCCCATGTTATATATTCAGAGATGATTTAACCTTCCAGGAATTTCAGCATACTAAGGCTTTGGGCCAAATAAAAGGCTCTCTCAGCTGGTTTTTTTGTTTGTTGGTTTGTTTGTTTTTGAGACAGTCTCACTCTGTTACCCAGGCTGGAGTGCAATGGCGCAGTCTTGGCTCACTGCAACCTCCACTTCTGGAGTTCAAGCAGTTCTCCTGCCTCATACTCTCAAGTAGCTGGGACTAAAGGTGCACACCACTGCATCCGGCTAATTTTTGTATTTTTAGTAGAGAAGGGGTTTCACCATGTTGGGGCCAGGCTGGTCTCAAACTCCTGACCTCAGGTGATCCAGCCACCTCAGCCTCCCAAAGTGCTGGGATTACAGGAATGAGCCACTGTGCCCAGCTTTTTTTTTTTTTTTGAGATGGAGTTTTTCTCTTGTTGCCCAGGATGGAGTGTAATGGAGCAATCTCTGCTCACTGCAACCTCTGTCTCTCTGCTTCCCAGGTTCAAGCGATTCTCCTGTCTCAGCCTCCGGAGCAGCTGGGATTACAGGCGCATGCCACCACGCCCGGCTAATTTTTGTATTTTTAGTAGAGACAGGGTTTCATCATATTGGTCAGGCTGGTCTCAAACTCCTGGCCTCAGGTGATCCTCCTGCCTTGGCCTCCTAAAATGTTGAGATTACAGGCGTGAGCCTCTGAGCCCGGCTTCTCTTTTTTTTTTTTTTTTTTTTTGAGATAGGGTCTCACTCTGTCACCCAGGCTGGAGTGTAGTGGTGCAATCACGGTTCACTGTAACCTCTACCTCCTGGGCTCAAGTGATCCTCCCACTTTAGCCTCCCAAGTAGCTGGGTCTATAGGCACGCACTACTACACCTGGCTAATTTTTATATTTTTAGTAGAGATGAGGTTTCACCATGTTGCCCAGGCCGGTCTCAAACTCCTTGCCTCAAGTGATCCACCCACCTTAGCCTCCCAAAGTGCTGATATTACAGGCATGAGCCACTGCCTGATCCCAGCTGTTACTTCTTTTCTATAAAAAAACTTACATACCTAGGGCCAGGTGCAGTGACACATGCCTCTAATCCCAGCCCTTCGGGAAGCCAAGGTGAGCAAATCACCTGAGATCAGGAGTTCAAGACCAGCCTGGTCAACATGGTGAAACCCCATCACTACCAAAAATACAAAAATTAGTTGGGCATGGTTGCAGGTACGTATGATCCCAACTACTCAGGAGGCTGAGGCAGGAGAATCACTTGAATCCAGGAAGCAGAGGTTGCAGTGAGCTGAGCTCGTGCCACTGCACTCCAGCTTGGGCAACAGAGAGGGACTTTGTCTCAAAAACAAAAACAAAAAAAAAGTTATACACCTAGCTTCCCTAGGCTATCAACCTTTCTGGGGATCTCTTCAATAACAATTCAGCCCTTCATTTGCTCAGAAAGACATGTCTTTTAATCTGATTAACTAAAACTTTGCAGTCTCTTTAAAACTTAACCATTGGCAGCACCAAGAAATGACTGGGGTTGCCTAGTCATCCCATAATATAAAGTCCCTCCAAATAAATATAAAAATCTAATTTTAAAAACTATGCATGCTATGTAAAAATAAATTCAAGGCATTCTCTTAGCCCTCCATCCCAACCATACTGCCGTCTCAAAAAGCCTCTTTTATAGAAATGTTGGAACCACCACTGAACATGACCATTTTTTGTTTGTTTAAATATGTTAAGGGTTTTTAATATATATACAGCGTTTTGAAATTCTTAATGTTTCTTTAAATATGAAAAGCAGATATCCTCTGCCAGGTGTGGTCGCTCACACCTATAATCCTGTCACTCCGGGAGGCTGAGGTGGGCAGATTACTTTAGCTCAGGAGTTTGTTACCAGCCTGGACAATATAGTGAAATGCCATCTCTACCAAAAATATAAAAATTAGCCGGGCGTAGTGGCACATACCTATAGTCCCAGCTACCCAGGAGGCTGAGGTGGGAGGATGGCTTGAGCCCAGGAGGTGGTGGCTGGAAGTTATGGCGAGCTGTGATCACACCACTATACTCCAGCCTGGGTGACAGAGCCAGCCCCTGTCTCAACAAAAAAGAAAAGAAAAGAAAAGGAAGAAATCCTTGGGCAAGTTGATTTATTCTGCATTCAATTTTTAAAAGTAGTTACTTACACTTCCTGCCCACAAATCTTCTCTTTCTCCTGCAAGTTTAACATAAACAGATATCTCTTCTCCCTTGGTGAAGTTCAGGTATCGGCAGTCTGGTCCTCTGTAATCTCTCATGGCTGAGACTCTGCTTATTAAAGCTATGTAAAACATGTAAAGACACACATTATAAATTAAAATGTTATTTCTCCCCTTTTCATCTTGCTCTCCTTCAATTCATCCTATATGTTTGCAAATGCTGATTTCTTCATATCATTTATGGCCTCAAAAACCTACATAGCCTTCCCACTGCACACAGAATGGAGTCTAAGCCTTAGGGCCTGGTATCCAAGGCTGTCCGTAACCTGATCCCCTTTCTCTATTTGAAAGGACCTCTTCCTATTCCTTCACGCAGACTCAGCTACACTCAAACTTCTTTACCCATTGTCCCTGGAACATATCATTATCATCCTGTAGTCCATAGGAAGAGAAAAAAGATAATCAGTTTTCTTCCTGGCACTTACCATATTCTAGGCATTAGGATAAGTACTCTCATATTTTTATTTTATTAAATCCTCAAAACAGATCTATGAGGTAAGTAATTTGATCTCAGTCTAACAAATGAGCCTTTAGCGAAGGCCCAGAGGGTTGGTCACACAGCTCAAGTGGAGCATGATTTGCCCTGATGTTGTTATCACTGCAAAATCCCTTTCCTTATTCTGAGCTTTTCCTTTGCTCTTTCCCCAACCTAGACACCCTTTTACCCCCTTCATGCTTATGTCATGTCCTGCTTCCTCTATGAGGCAACCTGATCATTCCAGCCTACTTGGATTACCCCTTCTCTGAACTTTAATATTACCTATTATCCTTACTAGGGTGTATCACTATTTACTGTTTCATATTAACCTGTCTTGTCATCCTTCAATAAAATTAAACTTTCTGAAGGGGAAGAAACTTATCTTACATCTCATTTTATTCCCCTTAGACGCACAGCACCTGCCCCCCATCCAACCCAACATGTAGTAGGCTGTCAATAATTATGAACAAACCACAACCACATATGCCAGATTCAGCAGTTCATCACACGAAGTGATATACACACCATATTATCTATTATGATTAGACTAACATGTGTAAAATAAGACATTTTTATTGTCATGCAATTAAAGTTAAAAAAAATTACAAATTTTTATAAATTTGAATGTTTCCTTTTCATGTTGTGTGTCTGGCCCTAAGGAAACTAAAATAAGGTTGTAAAGAGGGAAAAAAGATTTTTTTTCTTTATGTATGTATTTTTGAGACAGGGTCTTGTTCTGCTGCCCAGCCGAGAGTGCCGTGGCGTAATGATAGCTGACTGCAGCCTCCACCTCCCAGGCTTAAGCCATCCTCCCACCTCAGTCTCTCGAGTAGCTGGGACTATAGCTTGTGCCACCACGCCCGGCTAACTTCTTTGATTTTTTTGTAGAGATGAGGTCTCACTATGTTGCCCCGGCTGGTCTCAAACTTCCGGGCTCAAGTGATCCTCCCACCTCAACCTCTCAAAATGCTGAGATTATAGGCACAAGCCATCACACCCAGCCAAAAGATTATTATTACAATAAAACATCATCTAATAAACTTCTCCATATACCAAGACCAGCTGAGCCGTAGAGACCCCCACCTAGCCGGCACTGAAGGCATTAAGAAGCAAACACCCGCCGGGCGCGGTGGCTCAAGCCTGTAATCCCAGCACTTTGGGAGGCCGAGGCGGGTGGATCACGAGGTCAAGAGATCAAGACCATCCTGGTCAACATGGTGAAACCCCGTCTCTACTAAAAATACAAAAAATTAGCTGGGCATGGTGGCGCGTGCCTGTAGTCCCAGCTGCTTGGGAGGCTGAGGCAGGAGAATTGCCTGAACCCGGGAGGCGGAGGTTGCGGTGAGCCGAGATCGCGCCATTGCACTCCAGCCTGGGTAACAAGAGTGAAACTCTGTCTCAAAAAAAAAAAAAAAAAAAAGAAGCAAACACCCAGACAGAACAGCAAAGTGGGACTATCCCAGGGCCAACAGCCTTCTGAGCTGACAGCCTCAGGAGGCTGACAGCAATCCGGGCTGAGGGCCTCAAACAGACGCTGATCCGTGTAGTTATTCTCTCTGAACAGGTGATGATTATTAACAAACAGGTGTTCTGTGTTTTCTCATAGAACCAAAATCAACTAAGTAGGCAGCTGGTGCCTACTTAACATTGATCAAGGACAAACCAGAAAGGATTCTCCACAAGGGAGTCACGGGGGCAGGGTCACGAATTGTTTTAACCGGTGTATAATACACATATACTGTTTTGCTGCTTTAGAAAGCCCCAAGCAGTTTTCCATTGGGGGCTGGTGGGGGAAGGCCAGGTTTTCCTTGCCACTGTTCTTAGCAAATAATATAGTCCATCATACACTCAGCATTTTTCAGCAATCTTACACTCAGCATTTCTCAGCATCTACATATTACATTTTATGTCCAAAAAGTTAAGGAAGAATGTTTACCAAAATTATTACTTATGAATTATTTATGTTTATACTAATAATGTTTTTCATTTTGAATTTGCATGTTGCAAATTAGAAATAATTCTCACAACTGGGCGCCGTGGCTCCCGCCTGTAATCCTAGCACGTTAGGAGGCTGAGACAGGTGGATTGCCTGAGCAACTCAGGACAGGCAACACAGTAAAACCCTGTCTCTACTAAAATACAAAAAATTAGGTGGGTGTGGTGGCATGTACCTGTAATCCCAGCAACTTGTGAGGCTGAGACAGGAGAATTGCTTGAACCCAGGAGGCAGAGATTGCAGTGAGCTGAGATTGCACCATCACACTCTAGCCTAAGCGACAGAGCAAGACTCCATCTCAAAAAAAAAAAAAAAGGAAAAGAAATAATTCTCACATACTGGAAGGGTAGAATTTACTTAAAGTGGCTCTTAATTCTGCTGAGAGAGAAAAAAATTGTATTTATTATAAAATAAAAATAAAGGAAAAAAGAACTTATTTAAAGCAACTCTAATACATTGGGATATAATACATTTTGCACCATAAAACTAATTACAGAAAATAAATTAAGTTCTTAATAGAATGAAAATTAATTTATGTTTGTAATAAAGTTTTATATTCAATGATATAAATAAAATATTTATATTCTAAAACTGATTTCAGTATTTTTACATAATAACACAGAAATGATTAACATTTGATAAAGTTTAGAAGAACAAATTTTGATATTTTGAAATAAAAGCACTTTTTTTTTTTTTTTTTTTTTTGAGACGGAGTTTCGCTCTCGTTACCCAGGCTGGAGTGCAATGGCGTGATCTTGGCTCACCGCAGCCTCAGTCTCCTGGGTTCAGGCAATTCTCCTGCCTCAGCCTCCTGAGTAGCTGGGATTACAGGCACGCGCCACCATGCCCAGTTAATGTTTTGTATTTTTAGTAGAGACGGCGTTTCACCATGTTGAGCAGGATGGTCTCGATTTCTTGACCTTGTGATCCACCCGCCTCGGCCTCCCAAAGTTCTGGGATTACAGGCGTCAGCCACCGCGCCCGGCCAATAAAAGCACTTTTTAGGAAATTCATGAGAATCAGAAAGTTCTGAGTGTGAAACAGAAACTAAAAAGTAAAAGGTCTTCATAAATAAAGGACTATCAAAATGGTGTCTTTTTCTATGTGAATCGATTAGATTTATCTTTTTTTTTTTTAATCAGGCAGCTTTCTGAGCCAAAGTAGGCTCAGAGACGCCTAGATTCATCTTTAAAAATAGTAAAAGGGCTGATTAGTTTGTTTTTGAGGTATGAATTAATATCATTTTAACTTCTGATATATTTCTACAGCAAACTGATTTTTACTATTTGTATATTTGTATTAAATACTATCACAAAATGCTTTGCTTTCAGCATTTCTTTTTTATACCAAGCTATACTTCATAATCCAAATATTTCTCAATGATATCAGTACTCACTTTTATCATTCATGACCACAATAACATTTTGTCATTTCAGAGCCTCAACTTAGGAGAAGAAGCAGCGGGGAGATCAAACTTACTTTCGCATTCCAAGTCACCACATTTTTTAAGGTCTGCCAGCAGTTTTGTACTTTCCAAACACTTTGTCAGAGAAATAGCCACAAGAAGGATTCTGTGAACGCCAAGTTTCGCCATGCTAAAACGAGCAACCAGGAATTCCAAGTGAGGTTTAAGCCAGTTGTTCAGGTTGTAGAGATGTCAGCCAAAACCGGAGATATTCTACTTTCTTCACTAACTATAAGAGAAAAAGAATTGAAGTTTTAAAAATCTCCTGATAACTACATTTTTCTATCGATTTGTTGGTTTAACTTGAAAGACAAACACTGTCTGTTCTCAATCTGCAGTGTCAGGTATTCCTGTAATACCTAAGGGTTTAATAATTAACAAGGATTTTTAGTTGGACTAATATCTTACAAAGGAAGCCCATGTAAAACTGTCTCACTTAAAGCTATCTTGAGTTCAATATGATGGTTTTTAAGTAGGCCTTCGCAAATACTAGTTACATGCAAATACTAGTTGCAGTGGAGAATGTATATAGCTATGTTTAAAAAGATTAACAATTTATGTTAAAAGCATGGTTTTGAAATATGGTGAAAAGTATTTTTTAAAATATTCTACTTTTATATTTAAAAACTCTTTATTGTTACTATGAAGTTAAAACTTATATAGTTAAAAACAATAGTTAAAATGTAGCAAATACTATGTTCCACGTACTGTCTTAAGTAAGTACTTAAATATATGATCTGATTTAACCTTCACACCAACTCTCTGCAGTAGGTAATATTATCATCCCCACTTTTGTATATATGGAAACTGAGGCAAAGAGAGATGGGTTAAATCACTTACTCAATGGCCCAGTGGAAAAGAAATGTCAACCTAGGCACTATGACACCCCATACTTGTAACCACTTGCTTTACCACCAAGAATCAAGTCATCTGCCATGTAAAGATGTCACTGTCTGCAACAATACTACTTCAGAAACAGCAGGTAGAGTATTACTCCATGTTTTAAAAACTATATGCATATTTCTGTATGCATACATGTTTTAAAAACTATGCATTAAGTGGAGAGAGAATGAAAGAGAAATATCTGCATAAGTGCTCCCCCACATGGTGGGAGTATATAGTGTGATTTCCGGTGGTATTTATTTTCTTCTTTGTAGTTTATCATATTGTTTGACTCTTTCTATATTGTTTGGCTGTCTCTCTCTCTCTCTCTTCTCTTTCTGTTTCTTTTTGAGATGGAGTTTCATTCTTGTTGCCCAGATTGGAGTGTAATGGCGCGATCTCGGCTCACAGCAACCTCCGCCTCCCAGGTTCAAGCGATTCTCCTGACTTAGCCTTCCAAGTATCTGGGATTACAGGCTTCTGCCACCATGCCCGGCGAATTTTTTTATTTTTTGCATTTTTAATAGAGATGGGGTTTTGCCATGTTGGCCAGGCGAAACCTGGGAGGCAGAGGTTACAGTGAGCTGAGATCGCGCCATTGCACTCCAGCTTGGGTGACAGGGTGAGACTTCATCTTAAAAAAAAAAAAAAAAAGCATGTATCTTTTTTGGTTTTGTTTTGTTTTTGAGACAGAGTCTCACTCTAGCACAGTCTGGCCTCCTGGGCTTAAGCAATCCTCCCACTTCCCGGTCCTGAGTAGCTGGACTACAGGCATGTGGCACACAGCTATCTAATTTTTTATTTTTAGTAAAGACAGAGGTCTCAATGAGTTGGCCAGGCTGATCTTGAACTCCTGGGCTTAAGTGATCCTCCTGCCTCAGCCTCCCAAATTTCTGGGATTACAAGCATGAATCACCACACCTGGCCCATATATTATTTTATAATAAAGCAGCCCACCCGGTGGCTCACAACTGTAATCCCAGCACTTTGGAATGCCACGGCAGGAGGATCACCTGAGGTCAGGAGTTCAAGACCAGCCTGGCCAACATGATAAAACCCCGTCTCTACTGAAAATACAAAAATCAGCCAGGTGTTTTGGCAGGAACTTGTAATCCCAGCTACTTGGAAGGCTGAGGTAGGAAAATCTCTTGAGCCCAGGAGGCAGAGGTTGCAGTGAGCCAAGATTGTGCCACTGCACTCCAGCCTGGGCAACAGTGAGAGACTCCATCTCAAAAAAATAATAACAATAATAATAATGAAAAAATAAATAATAAATAAAATTTAAAAGCTATGAAAATCCAGTCATTTGAACATTACTGTCACTCAAAAAGGATGAAAATCCCACATTGGAAATGTTTGTGTAAAACTCAGTTGATTTTCAGAAACCATGGTTGTCCAATTTCATTCTCGGGAAAACATGTGTCTAAGCCCTCCTTTGCTGCACTTTTTCACTGTATTTGGGCATACCAGCGGGCACACAGTCGGTCTTCTGATTATCAAAACCCAGCACTTTCATGATGCTACACTCCCCTCTAGTGCCTGACACAAATAGGACAAATACCCAGCCTCTGAGCAAGCTAAAGTGAAGGAAGGAATTTTGCTTTCAAGGTCCTAAGTAAAGGAAGTTTGTTTGTTGGTTTGTTTTCCAAAAACAATGATCAATAGGAAGCCTGCTCTGTCAGGGCCAAGATTTTTATATCCTTCAAAAGAATCTTAACAAGCATGCGTTTCAGATCATTTGGCTTGCAACAGAGCACTGCATAGTTATATATCTATACACACACAAAAAGGCATAGCTTAGGCTGGGTGCCTCACACCTGGAACCCCAACACTTTGGGAGGCTGAGGTAGGAGGATTGCTTGACCTCAGGAGTTTGAGGCCACAGTGAGCCATTGTCACACCACTGCATGTCATCCTGAGTGACAGAGTGAGACCCTGTTTCTATTTCAAAAAAAAAAAAAAGAATGAGTACCTTTGCAAATCTACAAGCTGTGTTGTTAAGGACATTTAAAGAAGGATCAGCTCTTCAGCATCAAACTTTGGCTAAGGGTTATTTGCATATCTTATATTACCAAATCCAGTATTAAATCAAGAATATTTAGTAATTAATGTAGTTTAGCTCTCCTTGTTTTTGTATTTAATATTGAAGACAATATAAAGAATTTATGGATAAATTCAGAAGTAATTGATTTAATCATGTTCTAAGTCAAGAACAGCAAGAGCCCAGCAAAGTTTAAATTTGGTATTGATTGGCCTGAGGGAGATCTCAGTCAAGAAAAATTCTTGCCTAAGATGCCAATCTGGAGAGATTTGCTCCTACTAGAAATGCTCCCACACTCTTGCTACTTAATGCACTCAGATGATCTCATTTTATGTTCAGATCGTTATTGAAATTATAAGTTAACAAGGTATCTGAAAATGTGGTAGCACAAAGCTGGATGAGAAGATGACACATGAAGGGGACAAGAGCATTTGGTTAAAAGAAACCAAAGTGTGATTTTCACTATAAAAAACAGTCATATTAACTTAGCCAGATATTATCACATTGCTGATGCATTTTGCCAAATATATCAAAATTCATCAAATGTGATGCTAAATGTTAATACTGAGGAAGGTGTCATGGTAACACAACCCAGCCAAGAATACTAATTTGGAAGGCATATACTATTCATCACAAACCATATGGGAAGTAAGAGTACTTATTGCATAATGCTAAAGAATAAATCATCAGCCAGCCAGGGCAGCTCATGCATGTAACCCAGCACTGAGAGGCCAAGACAGGAATTCAAGACCAGCCTGGAATTCGAGACCAGCCTGGGTAGCCTGAGCGACATAGCGGGACTACAGCTCTACAAAAAAAAAAGCAAGATTAAATTAGCTAGACATAGTGGCACATGCTATAGTCCCAGCTACCTGGGAGGCTAAGGCATGAGAATCTCTTGAATCCAGATCTCTTGAACTCCTCACAGCAGTTCAAAACTGCAGTGAGGGCCCAGCATAGTGGCTCACACCTGTAATCCCAGCACTTTGGGAAGCCAACGTGGCTGGATCACGAGGTCAGGAGTTTGAGACCAGCCTGGCCAATATGGTGAAACCCCATCGCTACTAAAAAAAAAAAAAAAAAAAATTAGCCAAGTGTGGTGGCGTGCACCTGTAGTCCCAGCTACTTGTGAGGCTGAGGCAGGAGAATTGTGGGAACCTGGCAGAAAGAGGTTGCAGTGAGCCAAGATTGTGCCACTGTACTCCAGCCTGAGTGACAGAGACAGACTCTGTCTCAAAAAAAATAAAAAACAAAAATAAAACCGCAGTGAGTTATGGCTGTGTCACTTCACTCCAGCCTGGGTGACAGAGCAAGAATGTGTCTCTAAAAACAAAAAAATAATGAATCATCAGAGCCACACACATTCAGTACCTAGAGACAGAATCACAAAGCAATCCTTTCTATGAGAATATAAAGACAGAATCATGAATGCTGCACTTCTACTGCTTGGTGATGTTATTTCTGAAACTATATAGTATGGTCTTCTCTCTTAGTATCTCAGATTTCCTAAAGTGGGCACATATTTCCTTCAACCATCTGCCTGTTACTCTGGCAAATTTATAAGACAGGGAAATTTAATTAGAAGGTGCTTACTGATTAATCTAGAGGGATTTCACTACGGATGAGAACAGAGCCTTTGGAAACAGTTCCCATGTATGACAGTGTGCAGTGAAAGATAAGACCTCAGAGAGATTACGATTTAGACTTGTGGGGAAGACGTGCAGACGGCCCTCCACATCCCCTCTCCAAGATAAGACTTTCTGCCCACCTACAGGGAATACAGTTAGTAAACAGCCTCCACTGACAGCTATGTCAGGGTCTGCCTTAGCTGCAGAGACCTATTCCAGCCCCCAAGGAGACAAATACTCAGCTCCCATGCAAGCTAAAGTGAAGGAAGAACTTTTGCTTTCAATGTCCTAAGTAAAGGAAGTTTGTTGTTGGATTCTTTTCCAAAAACAATGATCAGTAGGAAGCCTGCTTTCTCAGAGCTAAGATTTTTATATCCTTCAAAAAATATGATGGAGCCTGCATTTCAGGATGATTTGGCATATGATCTTACCCAAGATCACCCCCTCTTGGGTGATCTAATGAATCTAGTGAATAAAAAGAGAGTACAAAGGCAGAGTCATGTCAGCCTCATGTGGGACAACCTGATGGGTATTTCTCACCCAGAGCTTCCTGCTGGGTTGACTGAATCTTTGTAGGGCCTGTGTTGCAGTTTGACTTCCCCCTCTGCCCAATCCTGTTATCTGCCACTTCCTTTCATAGGTTTGATCCCTTGAACCCCAAACTCTACCTCAGCATCTGCTTCTAGAGGACCTAACCTCAGAAGCTGGTGATCCACAGGCACAAAAAGAGGAGATGACAGAACATACATGTTTTGACTTGGCTGGTCTCGACCTCCTGACTTTAGGTTATCTACC